AAGTTTCTTGTGTACAACTCAGAGTAAATTAAAAATGTTTTAAAAGATTTTTTTTTCCAGACCTAAAAACTGAATATTAAACTGTATATAAACTTCCTGCTCAGTTGAGTGAAACATTAGTGCACTTTACTGAAATTTCTCTAACATTTGTATCAATAGGAGTGCCCTATTTAATTACTGCTTAAGTTACAAGCAGTCGAGCAACATGATAGAAGCAAAGAGTAATTTTCGGCCACTGTTTAACTAGCCAATAGAGTTTGGGAAACACTTTGGAATTGTTATTAAAGTTAAAAAAAATATATTTTCGAAATTCATATTAAATTTTGCTTACCACATTGGCCTTGTCATTAATTTGTTATTGATTCGAGTGTACGTGTAATTTCCTGCCTAGATGGTAAAACCAAACGTTGCGTTCAAGTGGTGAGCTCTCTTGTTTCATATATGGGAGTTCTTTCAGATCTCGACAAGGAGATAAGTTATTCTGAGATTCTTCGAGGTTTTATTCAGTTCTTCCAGGCAAATTCGAGGAGTAATTGCTATAATTTATGCAACTTCTGTTTGAATGTGTATAATATTCAATTCATTTTCACTGATTATCCTACCATCCAACGATAAAGTATCTTAGACGGTAACTAAATTACAAATAAATAAGGCTGGGCAACAGATAACCTAATTTTTCGGTGAATGTTATTTTTAAACCGTGGAGAAATTGAGATAGAAATTAATTATGGAATTCCATTCAGTTCTTGACAGAATATATTGTTGCAAATTATTTTCTACATACAATAGGTGCAGTAAGAGATGATTTTCTATCTGATTTTCCATACTTCATTGGAAATGACGCTTATTAATTCTTCTCTACGGAGTCTGTTTGTTGTTCAACTTCAGGTTTCAATAGTAACCAAAGTTATTGCATGACTATTCACACAAACGGAGTGACAAAATTTGTGGTCATCCGCTGTTAAATATTTATAACGGAATATGATTCACATATAATTTGACAATTTTATCTGGGCTTTATTTTTGCCGTGATTATTTTTCTTTGTACTGTTTGCTGCTTCGGAGCAAGTCTATAAATTTCGATTGAAATTTAATATCTTACACGAACAATTTCATGGAAATGAATAAAATTTATTTGTTTCTAAATAATAATTTAAGGAAAAATAGATACAGAGCCTCGACTTATAAGTTAAGTTTGTAGAACAATGGTCTCCATGCAGTCTACATTCACACGATAAGCAATTTTAGCGTAATAAGATTCGCTAATTCCTAATTATTTCAGTCCTTATTGCAGAGTAGAAAAATTAAGTACCCATGCACCTATTTCTGCTTAATGAAATATAAGAAAATCATCTTTGTAATCTAGATTACAATAGATAACACGTGTTACTGTCATAATTTTTTATACTTTAATTTTCGTATTCCAAGGACTATACAAAGTAATTTTCTTATCTGGATAGGTTGGGGAGAGGCTCTCGTTTTCCCATCTAAGAAAATGTTCTCTGGGAACGAGAGTACGAAGGAAGAGGGAACGAGAAAATCAAGAGAGTGCGTGTAGGAAAGTGGGAAGAACGAAAACCCTGGAGGTTGGCAGATACGGGGATTACTTTTGGTAAAAGCCAAAGAAAGCGCAATCTTATGCATAACATCACTGTGCTTTTCCTTATCCTGGGCTGAAAGTAGCCGGTTCGGGCCGTGTGCATGCGAGTAAAGAAAACTTTTCCTCTGGGCCATTTTACCGTAAGAAGTTATATTAGTTTCCTTACTCTATTCGCCTGCTTAGGCAACAAAGTGGCGACACCAGAAGAGTGCAAATTTCGTTACTCTCTTCATTTGCGCCGAGAAGAGAAGTGAAAGACAAGTCGGTAAAAAACTGCAACCAGAGATAAGCCTATTTTTGAAATTGCTGTGTAAGGAGTGATGCATTTTTTCCAGCGTCACTTGTTTTTTTGTTCAAAATACCAATTTTGGTAATAAAATAAACCAAAATCCAATTTTTACTGACAGAATTCTATTAATCATCATAAAACTGTTATATCTTGTAAATATAAATTATTCTTGTATTCCTTATGTAAATTGATACAACAAAACATTTAAGACTAATGAAAACCTTAATATTTAAAAAACCCTCAATTTAAACACAAATAAATACAAACTAAATAAAATAATGAGTTCAAAATTTTACTTATTTTCTTAAAATTTCATTGTTAGCTTTGAATACTTATCTTTAAGGGGTAGTAGACATCAGCATATCCTGTAAAGTTCTGTAAGATTCCTCAAAACCAAGACATTTTTATTTTACATTAACGTCGTAAAAATCTACATATTTTGTTGTTGTTGGGGCTGACTCTAAAGGAATTACCATGCATACTTAAAGTGTGGTCATACAAATTATCGAAATCTAATTATGTTAGAACATTATTCGAATAAGTCTGAGTTGTCTAGGAAATTGTTCTACATCAGAATAACCTGCAGAATTAAATTTGTGTTCAAAGATGGATTGGAATTACAATCAAATTTAATTTCTTAAAGGAAAATTTGCAATTATATGACTATATTATGGAATTTGACTCAAACGTTTACACTAATTTGTCATAGCATCGGATAAATTTGGTCTAAAATGACGTACTACAGAAACGTAGTTCTCTTTCTCCTAGTTTTGAAAATACGCAGATTTTTAAGCAAACGAATATTTATAAACATCGTGAATTGTAGTATTAAAAAAAATCGTTATTTTAACAAACGACTCTGACCTAGTCAAGTCATAATTTTGTACAGCAAATCGAATTTTACATTTCACTGTATATTTCTTCTAAAGAGAAGCCTCGTTAGGTTATGTCTCAAAATTCACACAAAAATGGTTTTTAAATACCTTACATTAGAACACAGACTCTCTTACTGAATGAGCAACTTTTAGTCAAGACTGCAAGTATAATATGAATGTTAATTCATTTTGAAAACATTTCTAAAATGAGATCACGAGAAGAGCCTATGTATGAATAACTTGTAAGAAGAAATTATTGTAATTAGTTTAATATTAAATTCAATGTATTACTAAAAACCGTCCCTTTGTTCACATTATGTACTGACTTTCATAGCAAATTCCTTTTATATGGACTTATCTCCTTTATTCTCCTACTGTGAGCGACGGTCTCACATTTACTATTGCATGGTAAATATTTGAATAGTGCCAAAATTGCAGCAAAGTGGAGAGGAATATGGGTGTGGCGTTGTGAAATTATCCACTTATGAAGCAATGTACATGCTGATAAATTTGGGTTTAAATTTTCATAATTTCAAACAGCTCAGTAATTTAATATGTTTATATAAGTCTATCTTCGTAGTTCTTCATTAAGAATATTTGCACTCCGAACTTTAGCACTAACTCGAGTTCAATTCTTAAACGTAACATTAGGCAATCTGAATTTGATTTACTTATACAATTTTGCATAAAATATTCAAGAAGTCACGAAACTTACTTGCTATCAAAGATTTATATTTGCCATTCAGTTGGATGCAGATTTCGTTAATTAAAACTGCATTAATACACAAGATGTATAATTCGTAAAAATTTAGTGGTTTTATCACATCCAGAGGCAGTGGATACCATTTATATTTAAACGTAACGAAATTACATAATGTTTCTTATGATAATCCTTGTAATCAATATATCATTAGTTTTATTTGTAAAGAACTGATTCCCTGATGCAGAAAGTGAAGCTTTCGCTGTATCACTAAACGCAAGACTATCATTCTTAAACTTCTTACTTTGTTATAATTATTACAAAGTCATTATTATTAAATTCACATAAAAGCTTTAAATTTATTAACATGGAGAAAGAAATGCCATGGATAATGTCAAATACCCACCGTAATTATAGCTAAGCTTAAAAAACTTCGTATACAAAAGAGGCAAAGTGAAAAGATATAAGACGTCAGATGCTTGCAGCATTTTGGCAGTTTTTCGCAACACAATCGGCTGATGTAGCCTATCCTTGTTCTTTTTTTATTTACATACATTCATTCAAAGTTAGATTTTTCCATCTTGGATATTAAATCGATCTTTAAGAGAATGTGATATTGCTCCACCGCGACGATCATACTTATTAAACTGTATACGCTTGTTGCATCATGCATAGTTACGAGAACATGAATTTAGGCATTAATTCGAATTCATCAACTAAAACAAAAAGCTACATTCAATCTTTATTATTGCTCACTCTACTTAAAATGTGAATAAAATCATGCAAAACATATATATATATATATATATACAGAGTGAGTCAGACGTATGTTTACAAACTTCGTGTGCGTGTTCCAGGAACAAAAATAAAAAAAAATCCCATGAACATGGGGTCGCAAATGTTTCATTTTCGAAATAATAGCGAAAAATAAGTTTCAAGGAACTGACTTTATATCAAAGTGAATCCAGCTTCCAGCAAAGATTTTCAATTAACGTTTGGGTAGGAACTGTTGGCGACATGTTTATTGGTCCACACATTCTTCCTTCTCGTCTAAGAGGACCTTCATATCGGCGATTCTTAAGAAGACACTTGCCACGTCTCCTTGAAGATATACCACTGAATACAAGAAGACAAATGTGGTTTATGCACGACGGAGCCCCAGCACACTTCTCCCATCGCATCAGAGATCATCTCATTGAACAGTACCCTCAGCGATGGATTGGGGGAGGTGGCCCAGTAGCATGGCCACCGAGGTCACCGGACCTGACTCCATTGAACTTTTACCTGTGGGGTCACTTGAAGTCCGTCGTTTATGCAACACCCATAAACAATAAAGACGACCTATGGGAACTTGTGCAGAATGCATGCCAGATGATTAGAGGACACCCTGGTGTGTACGAACGAATCCGTCAGTCTTGTGTACGTCGTGCTCGTGCATGTGTGGAGAATGGAGGAACAACCTTTGAGCGTCTGTTATAGAGAAATATCCCTGTCCTTATACTTGGCAATAAATGCATACGTTGAAACTTATTTTTTGGTTATTATTTAGAAAATGAAACATGCGACCCCATGTTCATAGGAACATTTTTTCTTAATTTTAATCCTGGTACACGCTCACGAAGTTTGCAAACATACTTTTGACTCATCCTGTATATCCACACACACTTATAGGATTTCGAGATATAAGCATAACAAACACATGCATGTCCGTTGCAGAAGTCAGAGACAGAGGCAGATCATATACGTACAGGTCTGCCTATCCAATCTAAACTGTGCAGAGGCTGGAGGAAAAGAGAATGGTAGAACAGACATCGGAAATTGAGACTGGAAATTGCCTTCAGTAGGTGAATGTCGTGGGCATGAGTTTGGGAATTGGGAGGGATATAAGAGGACTGAATAGATGTCAAAGAAGAGAAAAGGGCTAAGGAGAAACGAGAAAAGTTTGTTCTTCAAATCGCAGAGACGTGCATCAGATATAGGAGAAGAAATGCTGGGCTGATGTGTTCCCATGTACATTTGCTGTTACAAAAACGAAACTTTGCCAGTATTCTATATGAGAGCCTTTTCTTCTTTCAGGGGTATACCCAAGTTGAAATTAACTTGACGCTTCCTTGGTAACCTGCTTGATTCCAGGCTCCACGAAAATAGAAAATGAGCTTAACAGATTTAGAAAAGAAAACTTTAAGGTTATGATTCTGTACTCCGAAGTCCCATGTGACTTCCCTGTGCGACAATAAAGTAAATAAATGACTGGTCATGATTGTGACAGGTGATATCTTGATTAGGCTACAGATAAGTAAGAAGAAATTTTATTTTCATTTGCGATTTTGCGTCAGATATTCATAAAGAGATAGCAAATTTAGTATTTATACATTCCAATACTTCACCAATGGTTGGAGTTTGAAAGAGATTGTATTGAAATTTGTCAACACATTACAACTTTCGCACAACAATAGCGAAACATTTACATGCGTTTCTGTGGAAGAAAATATCTTAATGGCCAATTTCTGGACTACCTTCGTTGCTATGGTTACCTGGAGAATCCCTGCCAGAAGAGTATCCAAGTACAGAAACCATGTATGATAACGTCATCAGTTAGCCAGACTCCACCCACTCAAATGTCATTGGTCTCACACACGACAGCCATCCACAAAGATTATAGGTCACGAATTATACTGTACTTACATTTCCTAACTTGTTAAAATCTCACTCACATCTACGCATCTTGTTCTAATAATTTATTTCTGGTCCAAAGTTTCTGTAAGCATGTCATGAGTCCCTCACGTCTGCTGTATGTTTACAAATATTCTTCTCGATTTATTCATCCTAAAAATACTTCGGGAAAATGCTCTCTAAGTTTTATATTGCAGTGTTAACACTTTGTAGGACAAAGTTAATTCGTGTCTTCATTACAAACACTAAGGTTATGCTAATTAAGAAAATAATCTCTAAGTATTCAGAAAATAATAGCCCAAGAAGAAATATTGTGGGCAAATACACAGTTAATGAAAGTTGAAACAGGTGGGACGCATAGTATAGTCAATTATAATCTTCCTTAAGAATTTAACAAAGGTGATTTTATTACAAACCATGAGAGGGAAGCTAAAATGTTCTACAGATTTTCTGTATTTAAAGCACTTCTTAACCTCACCAAACATTTCGTACTGAAATCTTTCAGCGTGAGAAGAACTCACGCTCTAACCATACCAAACAGAGAAAACAAATTGTATTAAATGTATTGGAGGTTGATACCCATGAAACATAAGTAATTTTCTTGTAGTTTTCTTTGAAATCATTATAGGCAAGAACTGCATAAACACATCACAGTATTCTTCCGTGAAGTAAACTTTCCTTACACCTAGAGGAATTTCATAACGTATCACTTGTCAGCTCTAATATTGTCTACACGCTGAAGTTTTTACGAAGATTCCAGTTCCCAGGGTGTTCACAACGGACAATGGTAACGATAAAGAATTTATAGCGTCGGATCATCGGTAGGCTTGAATAACGAAATGGATAAGACGTGGGAGAAAATGGCAGTTTTCTAATTTAAGGTGTTTACCTGGAGGGACTGAATAAGGGAACAAAAATCTTCTGGTTGTAGCTTGTATTCGGGCCAAGACTTAAACCAGGGACTTTTCCAGTAAGAAGTAGGAGAGCTAATCCCTTGGCCGCGAATTTGGATTTGTCCTAATCTAATACGTAATGCACATAAACTCGCTCCTTGTTTTTAATTGCTAACTTGTAATGCTTATTTCAAGATCCGCTAAAATTAATCCTTCCATTTTAAATTTTAAAAACATGTGGTAACATTTAGTCAAAAAAGAAAATGGTTTATGATGTTAGTAGCTTTTTGTGGATTATTTTTTATTTTGTTTATTAAAGTTACGTAATTATTCTTTATAATTTGTTTATCGCTTGAAAATGTCTCTCTACTGGTTTGTTGCAATGACTCATCGCCCTGATGATGGATGCAGCAAGCAAATCTGAAACGCCAGTAAACTTAATTCTACCAGATTACGTGATGCAATAGCCCAGAAGAAAGTTTCTTCTTATTCGCCGCCGTGGGAACCTAAAATGTCTTATCGATTGTTGTTATTTTGGTTTTTTTTTCTATTCTGTATCTGCAATTGGCCATTTGACTGTTGATGCAGCGCACTAAAATAAATAAATGGATTGTTATTCTCCAGACTACGTTCGTCCATATCGTGGCCCCGTCAATTTGCAGTGAACGCACGGTCATAACGACAACTTTTGCCAAACTGAACAGTCAAGGTTCATTAGATTCTCGCATTCACGGTGCTTTGTCGTGTGCCGATATATCAGCGTGCCTTTCTTCGGCTGCCAGCTGCGAAAGCAAAATGTGAGGCTGATCGGCGACACTTGGACAGTGGCAGAGACGAGTGGCTGGGTGGAAGACGTGAATCGGTCGGTATTTGCCATTGGACACTTGGTATCCCGGTCATTCATCTCAGAGTTGTGAAGGCCGATCTTCGGCAGTCGAAAAGGTACTGGCAGGATAATCAATACTGCAACCAGAGTACAGGCAAATACAAAAGTTAAAAGCTGCCTCCTGTTATGTTCTGTATCTTGATCCAAATTTTATTCTCAGCGCCCTGTTCTAAATATCTTCCTCTGCCTATACGTTCTTTCCGAAGGGGTTAGTGATCCAGTTTCAGATGGACAAAATAAACTAAAAATTATAGTCTCTGTTAGTCCGACCTTAATAAGTTACAAGATCAGGATAGCAATCCTTGAGTTCTTAAATCTAAGTAAGTGGTCACTATTTTAACAAAATTGTATCGTGCTGAGGTCAGACAACAAAATTAAATGAATATAAAACAAATGTGTTACTGTATAACACATAGAGGCATGTTGTTGTTGTTGTGATTATCATCAAAATCATCTTCATTATACCTTAGTATTATGGTGCGACTGTTTTGGGCATTTAATATTCCATTTCCGTACGACCTGACTTGTTTCCCAGGATTCACCACTAATGAGCAGGTTCATAAATGTATCAGAGATAAGCCTATTTCAAAGACTGTGCCTGAACTTTGTCATTCTATAGCTTTTACATAATTGAATTGGTCCATCTAGATTGGAGCCGCAGAAAAGTATAATTATTTAATTCGGTTCTCTGTAGTAGTCCTCTCCAAATTGCATGTCTGAAGGCCACGGAAGAACTTCACAATCCTTTCCCTGGGGCAATGAGTCGGCAGTACAGCTTTGCGCTGTCACTCGCATCCGCCCCTGTTTGTGTTGCAACGATGTAAGATTTTACAGTGACCTTGAAACATGCAATATGGTGATGGCTATATAACACAGAATTCATCAAAATTCTCTGTCAGAAAAAAAGGTAATTTCCTTAATTACGACATGAAACCAACGATATATTTTACATTTATTACTCAGAAAAATTAATTGATATAATTACTGGAATTCATAAAGGTAAGTGGTCTGTTTACATGTCACACTTTTCAAGTTAATCAGGCAATTAGAGAATGTTAAAGGTATATCTGTTTAAGTTTATGTAGGCTCTTTTTATATCAGGGAACTTTAATTAATCACACAGTTCCGTGTGCAAATTCTTTCCTGCTTTCTGAATACATTTTCTTTCTTTAAGCATATTTTAGCGACTGGGAGTTGTGACTGTGTTGAGTAGCCTACTGAGTCGTGAAACGACAAGATTAGTAAAGATTTTTTATATTATGTAAGGTGGTGATGTTGATGGTAGTAGTATAGTAGTAGTGGTACGCACCCTACAAAGTTCTATCTTCGCCAGCAAGCATACAGAGCATTGATTTTTCATTGCGAACTGAAGAAAAAGTATTGGGACTTGATCACAATCGATCTACACTCATTAAAAATGCAAGATATGAAGCTAGTCTTGATGCGACGTTAGTCCTACCCGTCTTACTGCTTTATTTGAGGACCAAATAGGCGTAATCGTATTTTCTTATTCTCAAACACACGTCCCATTTCCTTCGAGTTTCGTGTGTATATCGCGCCATAATCTGCGAAGTGGTGTCTCGATTCCGTATCTACTCTCATTTCCAAATGTCTCGATGTGTAAGAAGACCTTAGGCATCAATATTCAACGCTCGGACGCTCATTAGATGTACTCATGCTAACAGCGTTCTGGAAAACAACACTAACAGTAGATGTACTCTGGTACGTTTAGTTAACCAGAACCGAATGTTAATGTGATGTTCCCTCTTCGAAGTCAAGGTTATCGAGCAGAGCTCTGATCCCACACCAAGCATCAGGTAAAGGCCATTTACGAAAATTTGAAACAAGAGCTTAACCTGCAGCAGGAGACTCGGGAGTCGTTAAGTGACAAAGGATGAGTGGAACGAAGCTGCTTGGTTAGCAGAAGAGAAAAGTTCCTGCAGACGATGGCCCGTTGCCCGGGCACAGAATTTCCTCTCGATCCCATTTCTCTTGTGTTATTGCAGTTTCCCCGGGAACTCCAGGACCAGGTTGGCGTCTCCAGCCCAGGATGAGAAGTAGGAAGGGGAGAGAAGGTCTACTTAGATCCGGGTGCCTGCTTCTGGAATGGGCTCATTAACTCCGACTGCTACTGCGCCTCACGTTTCTGGTTCCGGAGAATTACAAAACGTACAGTCTGTAGGTAAAACAACGGCGTCGGTTTCCATGACAATTATCCTGCTTTATCCCACGTTAATTATTCGGTTATCACAAATAAGTACGCTGTTTCTTATCTCCCAAAAATATTTAAATATTTTCTTTTTGTCAAGATAGTAACCATTTTACTTGTTGGTATATATGTATGTACGTGTGTATTTGTATGTATATATTCTGCAGTTATTTACAGTTTCACATGCACGATCGACTGAATAGCCACACATGAAACTTGTTGAAAACTGCAGAAGTTACCATCCTGTTTTAAAGTAATTGTATTTGCTGATTAGATAATTCTCATCTGACTCCTGAAGAACACAAGGTTTTAGAATGTAAAAAAACTCCCATCATATAGGATTTGAAGTTCTCCCGACAGTGAATACTATGTCTTGTCTCAGGTCAGGTAGGCCCATAAATATAGCATCAAACGGACTGAAAACACTCTACAACATAGTTAACTATAATGTCGTCATTGAAACCCATTCAAACAATGAAACTCTTCATTTGTAGCCCACTTTCCCTTCATAACAAAAAATAATTAGGTTTGTCAATTACAATGCTTTATCTATCAATCACTGTGTTACGCTTTTTAGCTTCTGAAGGGCTTAACCGATTTTCGTAAAACATTTATAACTATTATTACTTTAACAACCATGCAAATGAAGTACTTCTTAATTTCCTGCAATCAATAATAACAAGATGTAAAACGAGCGAATTAACATAGGACTCCAAAAGGATGCATATCAATAGATCGTCAAAAAATATACAACTCTTGTTCAGGTATTTCTTTGTGGTGTGTAAGATAACAACATGGCAACAGTGTAAACATTTATTTAGCTTTCAGTTTAACAAAAGCAACTAACAAACTACTGGAAACAGTTTATGTAGCTTGCACACAGATTATGCATTAAATGTTCTTTATAAGTTAACAAGTGAAACCATCGTGACGGTACGCAACTAGAAGTTTATATCAGACCAATTTAATATGTACTAAATCTGTCAGTAGGTCGAATAAATTATTTTAAATTGTAATCTATAATAAACATGAGGTCCGAGTCGAACACGACGGTATGGCCATCTGGGTACAATCCCACAATACTGCCTCATCCGCTATTCTGAACTTCACTAATAGATTATAAAATTAAATTGCACAAAAGATATATATAAATTTTTCTCTTTAAGATTCCCTACCGTTTCCATGTGACGATATTTCTGCACTGATGGTGTTTTGTATTACTTTGATCGTTTGACGGGTGCTCCGCGCTGAAAGTTCCTTAAAGAGCATTTCCTTGAAGCGCAATCATCAGACTCTGACAATAGTTCCGCAACTAAGATAGCGGCAAACAACAATAACGTAACGGTTTACCATTGCGAAGTATTTCTGTGAAGTTTTTGCGATGTAAAATATCTCGCTGCGTCGATATTGGGATCGCAGACAGCCTTGTCGGCGTGTACAAAACGGCTCATCGTAATCTGAAAGACACTCTCATGCCGCATGCCGCATGCTGACCGTAGAAGACGCTATGTGCAGATGAGAGGAAGGTGTGTTGATATCCTACACGATAACCCATCAACGACACACGTCTTATTCCGTCTGCAATAGAACGACTCTATCAAAGTGTGCCACGGTGTTTGTGCATGAGAGTCAGTTGTACTTTTTCCATGTACAGCTAGTACAAGGGTTGCAGCCAGGGGATAAACATCTCCGTCAGCAGTTCTAACGATAAGCGCAACACAAGATTTTGGACACCCTTCAATTTCTGTGTCACGTGCCGTGGGCTGACAAGGCAATATTTGCAAGTGGTGCACAAGACCTGCACACTTGCATGTACGGGCAACAAAGTATCCTCATGCTACTCTTTACTTGTCATTTCAGCACAGATTTAGTGTCAACGTTTCGGCCAGAATTGTAAATGACCACGTAGTAGTCGGACGGTGTTCCTCCACATTGTGCAAAAAAAAAAAAAAGCCTTGACATATTTCCGAGCAGACGTTTTTCTGGTCTCTACGTTCCCCGATGTGCCACCTCCCATATTATTATTTGTTTGGATGCTTGAAGGAAAATATTTATATAATGGAAGTTCCGGATCAAGACGATTTAATTAATCACATTGAGTTGGCTAATGCAAAAATAGAACCTAAACAACTGGTTTCTGTTAGGGACTCAGTCGATGACGCTGTACTTAGGCGGAGAGAAAAGGCTTAATATGTGATAATATGCATTGCATTCAGTGCTCCAACAAGTCCCCACCACACGAACAAAGAAGTACTGAAATGAATTTACTTGAGCGACAAGTGGCTTTTCAAGGACTCTGCTAGATGGAGTTTATCAAAAGTTCTTCTTATCACAAATGTTGCTTCAAGATATTTATAAATTAAGCTATAAATATAACACATACTGAAAATGTCGCAATGAAACAGCAAATTGAACAAATTACGGACAACTTTCTGTGTTATTTAAGAAAAATAAAGTTCTTAAACAGATGATCCGTTAATTAATATCATTAGTCTATATTTTGGAAAACATTTAGGCATATATTTGTGCGTGGTTTCATATGTACACATGCATACGTAGTCAATTTTTGTTATTCTCAAGTAACGTCTTAAAAGGCCTTCTTAATTATAATAATGAATCCAAGCAGTAAGACTTTGTTGCACTTGTCGACTCTCCGCTGTCTATGAATTCTTTACTTCTTATTGTTTTGAGCTTGCACTAAATGTAAAGTACATATTATATTAAGCAAACTACTTTCTGGACATTATCCATCGTCCCAGAATGAAATCTATCTCCGTCTTCGGGTAAAACCCATTCTGTTGGGCTAAATCGATAGAGGTAGACCTTATCTCCAATCTCCGAAACGTCGTGTTTTATTAAATCTGAGACGATGGATAATGTCCAAAAAGTAGTTTGCTTCAACAACGTACCATCTCCACAAACCATCAGAATTAAGATAAATATTTATAATTGTTTTTCTCAATAGGTAATAATACTAAGTTAATTTAAATCAGTGTATGTTAACATTTGAATCAGAACAATATTTAAATACAAAAATACAATTAACATTGAGTATATAAATGTTATCAGGTTGTAATTGTTTTCTATAATTTCAAGTACCTTAAATATTTTGCAATCAAAGAACATTTTATAATAGTAAATACAGTTTTATAAAGTATGAAACTTCCTGACGTATACATTAAATACGTTATTTTCTTAGTTCGTGAAACTTATTTCATAATTGTAAATATATAAAAGATACGGGGGTTTAATTCACGAACAAGACACCCTATCCTGTCTGCTAGGTACTCCACTTCATTTAGTGTATTAAAATTAAGACTGTTCCCAACAGCTGCTAAAGCCAATATATTTTAACTTTGTTATAAGGAGTGGGATAGAGAGATTGTGAAGTGTTTATACGCTACAGTATGGTTCCAAAAATAACTCTCAACTGAAGCAACGTCCAAAAATCTAAGGCAAGGCCTTGCAGAACAAAGCAAAATCTATTTCACTACTGAAGCTGTATATTATCTAACATGGCTACAATTTGTTTCTAAATTAAGATTCGTGGTTACTAACCTGAAAACAACAATATCTCAGTAAGGTTTACTCAGTTTAAAAGTCCGGAAGTATTCAAGTCGCTGAAAGACGAGGTTCAAAGTTGTAGTGTGTTAATAACAGTAGCACTACTGCAAGATAAGACGAAAAAGCATTTGAATTCATCAAACGTTTATTAAACGACAGTAATTCAATTAATTCTTGGAATAAACATTCAACGACTAAAGATATTTTCTAACTTATAAAATTCGAATTAACTGTTATTTTTTCAGGAAAGGTTCTATCAGGAGAATCGTTCAGTACTCAAAGTTTCAGTCTTTCAATGAAATAAAAGCCCAGCCAGAGAAAGGAAACAAAACAAAACAAAACGAGGTGTTTAATGTGGTACTAGTATAAAGTACAAAACTTCATCATAGGCCTTAATAGTGATACTTTTGTGTAATTAAAAGTGTACGAAAGTTTTTCTCCCTTTCATTAGAAAAGCAAAATATTGCTTGCTTATAAGGTCACACGATACTAAATATCAGTTATGACGTTTAGTACACGAATATTTTGTAACACAAGCCAGTTTTTAAAATGTTGCTAAACTTTTATTTGAGCTTCCTATAATGTAAAATTTACTGGACCAATATAAACCAAATTCATCCTACACCTTTAAATTAATATAATACTTGTATTTTACGAGTGACAAATTTTCATTCTAGAAATAGACCCCAGTATCTATACTGCAATTGCTTCTTTACTAGGAATTCATGGTGCACTGGAATAAGATCAGTGTTCGCATCAAAGCAAGACTCTCATTGTATTATGTACGGAGGAAAAACACCTTCAGAGAATCACAATTTTGAATCGAGAGTAAGTTAACTGAATATACATATTTAGCTTTTTCGTGGTTTTTGTCGTGCCTTAACATTTTGATTGAAAAACCGAAGTGAAGAGACCTCTTGGCAGACATTTGGGTAGGTGGGAGAATATTATTAGAATGGATCTTAGGGAAATCGTATTTGGGGCTGTGGGTTGAATTATCTGGCTCAGGATGAGGGACCGATGCCTTTGTGGACACGACACGGCAATGAACCTTCGGGCTCAATAAAATGCTGGGAATTTCCAGACCAGTTGAAAGGACTATTAGCTTATCAAGACGGAATCCGATCCAGTTAATAGGTGTTTAGTTAATTAGTGATTTTCCACAGTCACTCCAAGTGGAGATAGTATCTTGAAGCCGATTACAACTGCCTCCTTCAAAATCACTACCTATTGAAAATTCATTATGACGTTTTATTTGAAATAGCCATTCATAAGGCAACAGCTCTAGCGCGCTCCGTTATAAGTCAGATCTTCATGTAATGTACTCGTTTTTGTTGTCCGATTTGAATCAAGACTGGAACGTTTCAACAAACAGTATTTAAAATTGAATATAACATTTTATGAATTTTTTTTGGTGGTTCTTAAATTGTTTATGCGAACACAAGCATCAAGACAGTATCAGACAGATAGACAGACAGACAGACAGACGAAGCTAATAGCCGCGTTTCTGTAACTTTTTTTAAGTTGCACTAATTAAAATAATACAATAATGCTATTTTCTCGTATTTTTGAAAATTTAAAAAATTTAAAACACTAACAATTAATTGTCTCAGATACCGGAATTCACGGCAGCCTGTTTTCTAAAATTCAGGCGTTGCTCTCAGGTCCTAAACACGACTATTTTAGGTTTGGAAAAATTCTTAAATATACAGTGTAATTCATGACATTGCTGACCTGAATTAACAATTTCTGATAGGCGTACATAGGCCTTGCACAACACAAATTATTTTCTTGCGTGTGATATCTAGTCTTCGTTATTAGGACATAAGCTTATTTGCATTGTCCGTCCAAGAACATGGTCCTCTAGTGTGTATGACAGTTAATGGAACAACACATTTTGTTCTTCTTCTGGAAACTCTCTAGAGGGCGCTGTAACGAGCATTGATTTTATGAAAAGATCGAGAAAGTCTATAAGAAACAATTAGCTTCTATACGTATCATAAATAATTGAGCATTCAATTTTGGCGCGCAGTTATTTCTGAACTTACGGTTTGGACTTGTCTTGAATACATACATTTCAGTAAAATTATCTCTTTGAAAGTTAACTAAAACAAGGTGTTCAAATTAAAATTATTATTATTATTATTATTAAAAATCATAACTGGATCTGGTATACGCTGTTACCAACATTTCTTATTATTTGAAGGGAGAAAAATTAAATTCTGAGTACAACGGTAAAGTAGAAGATAATAGCATAAGTGTACCTCCTTAAATAATGAACACTCTGTGATTTACCATGCAGGTCTGTGTCGACAGACTCTTATCGATTTCATTTCTAAGTTTAGAATTTTCCGAATTAAAGCATTTATATTTCCACCAGACATATAATTATCCCTATAATCAGATAACTGAGTCAAAAAATGAAGTACAACATAAAATCTATCTCTGGACTCATATTTATAAGATAGGCAAATTTGTGCCTTCGTTCGTATGTTAGACAGTGAATAAACTTTAGCGTTCCCTGTTCATGCCACAAAATAAAAAATTCTCTGAAGATTCTAATCACAATATAAATCGTCTCGAAAGGGCATTAATCAGATTGTATGCCAATATATATGAAAAGAAAAAATGGGGAATTATGGAAGATCTTTTGTTCTGTAATTTTCTTCAAAACGAATACAGTTTAGTTAATCAGTGGTATATAAGATTATGAGAGTAGTCAGAAACTTGCCGGAGATTGAGATGTTACCTGGAGTATTCAAAATGCGCAGTATTGAAAAACGGGCAGATTTAAGGACGACATGAGAAGGAAAGAAAGTGAAGTAATCTTCTCAAGAAAAGAAACTTTTCCCATTTGGATGCAGGTGGTGAAGCGAAGGCGTCACGTGCAAACTTTATAAAAAGTCCCGTCTTTCTTTATAAATTTTTCTTTCTCTT